ATTCCGAGTGTTAGAGTCTTTCCCACGAAAATGCCTCTGTAATTTTAGGTGAAAAAGGAGGGACTTGTGCTCTCATTGGCAAAGACTGTTGTGTATATATACCAGACAACACTAATGATGTAATAAATCGCGCTAGCTACTTAGAAAAGATTGCATATCTTCCTCACGAAGAGCCAAGTTCCCTGTGGAAATGGCTGAGTAACTTGTTCAATTTCTCTGGCATAGGAAACTGGTTGTTTCAGGGAGCCCTGACTATCCTATTTGGGATCTTAATGATTTTTGTATGTTTTCAGTTAATCTCCTGTTGTATCCAAAACTGTAACACAACTAGCTAACCCTCCCCAGAGTGCTAATCTGATGATTTTAAATATCACTAATGAACAAAAAGACAAAGAACGGTTAATGCAAGGAACCCAGTAATTGTTGGTCATAGGCGAGGCTTGACCAAAAGGAGGGATTGTGAAAGTAGAAAGAATTATACTGTAAGAGAAAGATGAATTGTGCTGTAATAATTGAATAAGTTGAAGGAATTCTGTTTGTCTTTTAAGAGGAAGAAGAAAAGTATGTTAATGTTGATTGTAGGTATGCAGATCAAGGTGCTAGCCAATTTGGGCCTGAGTTTAACAGGGAAAGGAATATTAGGTGTTAGACAGAAAGCAATTCCAGAATAATCAGGGAGATATAGCCAGCAGATTGCTGTGTGCTTGATATTGAAATGAAGATCCTTAACCACACTAATAATGTGAAGTTTTGTCACACCCTTTGATCTTGTTAACTTGGCCTTTTGACTGTATAAATCAAGGGGTTTGAACCTTGTATGGTACTCACATTTTCTGAATGCATTTTAGCAGAGCTTTGCTGAAATAAATAGAAGCGGTCTAACAAATCTGTGAGTCCTGTCTGACTTTGACAGCAGGGATCAACACAGAGCCTGCAGGGGGGTACTTTGAACACGGCCTGCAATGGGAACACGCTCCTTGATGGCGAGTCAATAGAATGGTCTTCTGTTGAGATGCGTTTTAGTAGTTAAATTCCTGGACTGTCATTGCTCATTAAAAGCGAAGTCATATGGGTGGAAATCGGGTAAATGTTGCATTTTATTAATATCAGCAGAACTGACTTAAATGGGGCCTGTGTGTTGTATAGTCTTGCCTTAGTCTTTGTATTCATGCCTGTCAGTGTGAAAGAAGCTATTGGCATATATATTTGCATGTATATACAACCACATTCAAGTTGTGGCCCTTGGCATGTGCTGTGAGTATTATTGTGGCCTCCAAGGCTTCCAAAGTTGAGTAGCCCTGATCTAAACCATTTTGTGTGGTTGATACAGAAAGCGAGTGCTATTTGGGTAAAAAAATAGAAAATGATTCCTGGCTTGCGTGGAAGTGAGAGACTACCTTGGGCAGGCAGGCCAGGCATGGTCTAAGCTGTATCTTGTCTTCGTAGAAGGTGGTGTAAGGAGGCTCTGACATGCGGGCTCGCAGTTCAGATATGTGGTGGGTGGAAGTGATTGCCACCAGGAATGCTACCTTCCAGGAGAGGTGAAGGAGCTAAAAGGTCACCGATGGCTCAAAGGGAGGGCCCCCTGAGTTGGGACGCCTCAGGTTGGGACTGGCTGCCAGGTAGGAGAGTTCATACTACCGAGTCCTTTTAGAAAGCATCCCACAATTGAGTGCGCAAAAACTGAGTGACCAGCAATTCAGGTGGAAAGCTGAAACAGCCACCCAGTGGACCTTCTGAGATGACACTGCAAGTGCTTTCTGCTTCAGGTGCATGTGATACTCCAGAATATCTGGGATGGATGCCTGGAGCAGGTCTCTCTGGGTTGTGGAACATTAACTTAAGAACCTTTTCCACTCTGCCAGATAATGCTGCCCTAGTCGACAGTTTATGACTAGCAAGGAGCACCTCCCTCACTTGATCTGAGCAGGCGAGCACGGCAAGGTTCAGCCTCAAAGCCTCTAAGGCCATGAGGTATAGGGACTGCAGGTCCAGGTGGTGGGGGCAACCGTGATGGTTGAGAAAAAGCAGCAGGTGGATGGATCATGGAATCGATAGTTCCAGCAGTGTGGGGTACCAGTGCTGGTGGGGCCAGGCTGGACCTATGAGAATAATATCCACCTTGTGTCTGCAGATATTGCAGAACAGCAGAAACAGGTGGGAAGAAGGGTGGATTTGATTTAAATCACTAGTCAGAAAGACTTGATTTAATCATGGTTTTCCACATAAAAGTGCATTCTTGTTGGATGTCACAACCTTAATACATATCCTTCACAATTCTTATCCTCTAGTCATAATTCCAGTCATCTGAAGAAGTGGGCTGTGCCCACAAACTCTCATGATACCATCTACATGTTTTGTTAGTCTATAAAGTGCTACCAGACCATTTGCTTGCTGGTTTTTTTTTACAATTCAGAGAGAGATGTAGGTCACCACTGGAGGAGAACATGGGGAGGAATCGTCACAATCATGTCTATGTGGTTGCAAGTCGGGCAACAGACTGTCATAAGCCAATGTTACCTGGGCCTGAGTCTCAGCCTGACATGTGGTACGACGTGTACACAAAGCACCATGTGACTGAGAAGCTTGCAACATAGACTGTGGCAGTGGGGAACTTGGCAACGCCTGTGACCATTAGTGATATCTAGAGGAAGTGAGGTTTGGGACGGAACGCCCATTTGGGAGAATGTGGACCTGTCTATCAGGATACGCTGCTCTAGCTGGTGTCAAGAGCAGCCCTTGAGGAGCCAGACATCGAGGTCGGGGTAAGCCTCTTTTTGGTGCCTGCATAGAAAAGCTGCCATGACTGCCAAGCACATGGTAAAAATGCAAGGTGCCATGGACAGCCCGAACAAAAGGGCCAGAACTGGTAGGGAACACTGCCCACCACAAGCCTCAGGAATCTCCTGCAGGCCAGCTTGATGGCAGTGTGGAAATACACCTTCGGCACCTTCATACCGAGGGCAGCATACCCATCTCCTGAAGCTAATGAGGGAATGAGTGTGCTCAGGGAGGAATTTCAGAGTAACCACAAATTTGTTGAGTTCTCTCAGGTCTAAACAGACCTGACAGACCGCAGGGGTCTGTTTTGGGACCGGCTCTGTTCAATATCTTCATCAACGATTTAGATATTGGTATAGAAATTACGCTTATTAAGTTTGCAGATGATAAGCTGGGAGGGGTTGCGACTAATCTGAAGGATAGGGTCATAATTCAAAATGACCTGAACAAATTGGAGAAATGGTCTGAGATAAATAGATGAAGATGAAGTTTAATAAAGACAAATGCGAAGTGCTCTACTTAGGAAGGAACAATCAGTTTCACACATACAGAATGGGAAGCGACAGTCTGGGAAGGAGTATGGCAGAAAGGGATCTAGGGATTATAGTGGACCACAAGATAAATATGAATCAGCAGTGTGATGCTGTTGCAAAGAAAGCAAACATGATTCTGGGATGTATTAACAGGTGTGCTGTGAGCAAGACTCAAGAGGTCATTCTTCTACTCTACTCTGCACTGGTTAGGCCTCAGTTGGAGTATTGTGTCCAGTGCTGGGCACCACATTTCAAGAAAGATGTGGAAAAATTGGAGAGAGTCCAGAGAAGAGCAATGAGAATGATTAAAGGTCTAGAGAACATGACCTAGGAGGGAAGGCTGAAGGAATTGGGTTTGTTTAGTTTAGAAAACAGAAGATTGAGAGGGGACACGATAGCAGTTTTCAGATATCTAAAAGGGGGAGGGAGAAAACTCGTTCATCTTGGCCTCTGAGGATAGAACAAGAAGCAATGGGCTTAAACTGAAGCAAGGGAGATTTAGGTTGGACATTAGGAAAAAGTCCCAAACTGTCAGGGTAGTCAAACACTGGAACAAATTGCCCAAGGAGGTTGTGGAATCCCCATCTCTGGAGATATTTAAGAGTAGATTAGATAAATGTCTATCATGGATGGTCTAGACAGTATTTGGTCCTGCCATGAGGGCAAGGGACTGGACTCAATGATCTCTCGAGATCCCTTCCAGTCCTAGTATTCTATGATTCTATGAAAATGGGTCTGAGGCCTCCTTTGCTTTGGGGGTGAGAAAATATCAGAAGTAAAACCTCTAGCCGCTAAGCTCCTAAGGAACCTTTTCCCCACCCCTAAAGATAGGAATGATCACATCTCTTGAATACGAAAATGCTCATGAGAAAAGTCCCTGAAGAGAGATGGGGATGGGGGGAGATGAGGGGTAAAGGAGCAGAACTGGATAGACTATCCCACTTCTCCATTGTGGATTACCCATCAATCTGAGTTAATCTGAGACCACGCATGCCAGAAGTGGGATAGAAGGTTCAGGAAGGGAGGAGAAAGATCCTGGGGAAGAAAAGTCCAATATTTCATCCATGGGCACACCTTCAAACGGGTTGTTGCCCAATTTGAGGTATCTACACCCCATCATAAGGGCTCAGAAATAACCCTCAGCTCACCATGTGAGAAGACATGGTACCAATTTACCCATGGCTCCACCTCCTGCTCACACCGAGAAGTGGAGAGTTTTGCTTATATTCGCACAACTGCAACAGCCACTAAAAAAAAAAAAAATATAGCAATCCAATTCAAGCAGAAAACGTTGCTAGATGGCTGGGACAGCTCCTTGTGTGACAGGAGCTCTCCATGGTACAGAAGAACTGTCCAAATCTGGAAACTAGCTCACAGCACTCAGACAAGCCCTGGAATGTGTGTTCATCCCTAGACATGGCTAGTCAGAAGCACCACCAAAAGCATTTTCAATTGACACATGGTTCAGAAAGGGAGGAGAAAATCCTGGGAAAGTCTCCTTTTATCATACCTACAACCCGTCTTCTATCAATAGAGGGTTAGGAGGAACTTCCATCCCTACTCCACGCAACCATCAGTCTAGTTTTCAGGTGATCATGTCCCCCCGCTTGCCCATATCTGCTTCCAGGCCTAAAATGGTACCAAATCTAGGTCTGCTAAGACAGAAGAGTAACCGTGTATACTTACAGGCCAGATTGGAAGTCCTTCTCATTCACCACAGCACAGTTGCTTAATGACAGTTCATCTGTAGGACATCTTGCTGCTTGCATAGACTATTGGAGATGACAGACACAAGTAGAAAAAAAACAGTAATAAACCACAAGAAAATGCAAGCATCTTTTGGTTAATAAACTATTTATTTATAAACTTTATTATATGAAATGCAGATTGGCTCCTTGAGATCTCATTAGCATTGATGTGCCATTAGGATACACAGCATGACATCCGTGGCAAAGAGCATCTTTCTACATGTCTGCAGCTGACTGGAGCCATGTAAGTCCCAGGACACAAGACACACAAAGCAAGCAAAGCAATATCTTTATTTGGAACAACTTCTGTTGTGAAACAGACACGCTCTCGTTTTTTCATAAAGCTCTTCTAGAGACCTGAAGAAAGCACATCACTTTCACCAATAAAAGTTAGTCAAATTAAAGCTATTACCACACCATCATTGTCTCTCTTTAAAGTGAAGATTGCCAGAGATAGACCTTCTACACTCTGAAACCTCTAGATCTGACAGCTGCAGGACACGCCACAGAAGATGGGTCTATGGTTATCTGGCAAATAATATATTAATTTGGCACTAATGGCCACAAGAGAACATACTAAATCACGTATGTCCTTCTGAAGGACATTAAAGAAGTTAGCAGGAAAATGTAAAACTCTCTACTGTTGCAATGTTAGCACCTAAATACCCACCACTCTCCTACTATACCAACAAAAAATATGACGATTCAATGAAAAGTTCTAATGTTTTCAATTAGGCAAGAGGCAAGAATGGATGGTTTTTATTAAAGTTATTGGGAAACTTCTATTTATAATTTCACAGCATTAAATTTTACCTGTTACCTTGTTATACTGAGCCCAAAGATTTTAGTCTCCCGAGAACTGCAATGTTTTAGTCTAACTAAAGTGTGTGCCATAGGCAGAAAAAAAGAGATAGCAATGTGCCACCAATGCGCCACAGATCCTGTAAGTGACTGGGAACTGAGCTGGTCAGACATGCCCACCTGCCATGATAAACTACTAGTCATCAGTCAATCACAATTCACTGGTTGATTCTGGCAACCCACCCAATCAATCACGAGTTCCGGTGGTTGCTAATCAAAGAACCATAGGGTTGGAAGAGACCTCAGCAGATCATCTACTCCCTGTTCAAAGTAGGACCAAGTAAATAACTTTTCCTTATTCACTTTCTGCACACCACTCATGATTTTATAGATCTCTATCCTATCCCCCCTTAGTCTCCTCTTTGACAAGCTGAAAAGTCCCAGTCTCTCTAATCTCTCCTCATATGGGACCCATTCCAAACCCCTAATCATTTTAGTTGCCCTTCTCTGAACCTTTTCCAATGCCAGTATATCTTTTTTGAGATGAGACAACGACATCTGTACGCAGTATTCAAGGTGTGGGCTTACCATGGATTCATATAAGGGCAATAAGATATTCTCCATCTTATTCTCTATCCCTTTTTTAATGATTCCTAACATCCTGTTTGCTTTTTTGACTGCCACTGCACACTGCATGGACATCTTCAGAGAACTATCCATGATGACTCAAAGATCTCTTTCCTGATTAGTTTGTTGCTAAATTAGCCGCCACCATATTATATGTATAGTTGGGGTTATTTTTTCAAATATGCATTACTTTACATTTTTCCATATTACATTTCATTTGCCATTTTGTTGCCCAGTCACTTAATTTGGTGATATCTTTTTGAAGCTCTTCACAGTTTGCTTTGGTCTTAGCTATCTTGAGCAGTTTAGTATCGTCTGCAAACTTTGCCCCCTCACTGTTTACCCCTTTCTCCAGATCATTTATGAATAAATTTAATAGGATTGGTCCTAGGACTGACCCTTGGGGAACACCGCTAGTTACCCCTCTCCATTCTGAAAATATACCATTTATTCCTACCCTTTGCTTCCTGTCTTTTAACCAGTTCTCAACCCATGAAAGGATCTTCCCTCTTATCCCATGACAATTTAATTTACCTAAAAGCCTTTGGTGAGGGACCATGTAAAAGGCTTTCTGGAAATCTAAGTACACTATATCTACTGGATTCTCCTTGTCCACATGTTTGTTGACTCCTTCAAAGAACTCTAATAGATTAGTAAGACATGATTTTCCATTACAGAAACCATGTTGACTTTTGCCCAACAAATTATGTTCTTCTACGTATCTGACAATTTTTATTCTTTACTATTGTTTCAACTAATTTGCCCGGTACTGCCGTTAGACTTACCGGTCTATAATTGCCGGGATCGCCTTTATAGCCCTTTTTAAATATTGGCGTTACATTAGCTATCTTTCAGTCATTGGGTACAGAAGCCGATTTAAAGGATAGGTTACAAACCACAGTTAATAGTTCCGCAATTTCTTATTTGAGTTCTTTCAGAACCCTTGGGTGAATGCCAGTTGTCCTAGTGACTTGTTACTGTTAAGTTTATCAATTAATTCCAAAACCTCCTCTAAAAATAATAAAGTAGTGCACCAAAAAGTTAAAAATAAAATTTTAAGCTACCACTATAGAAGAAAGATTGGATGGCTAAGTACAATTCAAGATAGTTGTTAACTGTTAGCCATCCAATCTGTCTCCTACAGTGCTAGCTTAAAATTTTATTTTTAGCCTTTTGGTGCACTTTTAGAAAGACTGTCTTTTTAAAAAGTGTTTTTTTTTTTTAATTTTTGTATTTTTGGTCTTAAGTCCAGTGTTTCAGCTAATAAAACCTGCATGGTTCATTTTGATATTGTTATATATTTCAACCTAGACTGTTTTACAAAATGTTTGTTTCAGTAGGTATCTACATTGTTAATTAAAATCAGTTGTGTTTAAGGAAAGGATAAAGGAATTGAGGTGATCGCTCAATTGTTTTGTTGGTTAAAAGGAGGAAGTCTTTGAAGATGTAGTAATTCTTCTAAGGCATCCTTATGACAAACATTGCTGCCCGTTAATTTGTTTGGATCGATTTAATCAATCTCTACGCCTTCCAAACAACGGACTCGACTAAGTGCATCAAATGGTTGAGCTGGCACAAAGTATTTGTTGCAGCTTGTGGGGTGCCCCATGCCAGTCCCTGTACCCCTCAGTCTGCCCACATGAGTGGACCCCTCCCTCCAGATTGCGGGCACACATGGCAGCCCCCTTTGCGGGGACTGTTTGGGGCTCTGCCTGCACTAAGGGGGAGCTCTTGCCTGGCTTGCCCGCAGTGGCACTCACATGCCAGGGACCCGGGCTGCGTGGGGGCAGAGGGGCACATGGGGAGCTGGGAGGGTTAGATGCTCCTGCTTGGAGGCAGGCTCCAAGGTGCCAAGGAGGACAGCTCCCCAATTGTTAGCAAACTGACTGACCTTTCCTGGAGACACAATTCACCCCGCTAGAGGAATGGGCGGGGGGTGCCTAATGCGTGCAAGCAGCCAGCTAGTGCAGAAGCCTTTTGTTGTGGATTGCAGGACGCCCCATGCCAATCCCTGCAGCCCTAAGCTTGGATGCATGGGTACCTCCCCGCCCCCCGGCTTGAGGGCACGGTGGCAGCCCCCTTTGCAGGGCTTGTTTGAGGCTCCACCTCTGCCCAGAGCAGTGGGGGCAAGTCAGTCACAGCGGCAGGGCCTCCCCACGAGTGGAGCAGTGCGGCAATGAGGCAGGCCACATCAGTGCGTGCGCGGGAGTGAGAGAAAGTTGAAAATCCCATGACAGACAGACAAGAACGGTGGCCGTCTAATAGAAAGATTGTCTAATTAAAACAAACTCCTCCAAAAACCCCAATCCTCACTGATGTCACCCCAAATAGAGTCAATTCACTCCTCTGGCACTCCAGCCCCACAGGGTGAGGGGAAGGGACAGGGAGGAGTGAGGTTCAGGGCCTTTCATAGGCCAGATTTACTTTTCTGTGATTCTGGAGTTAGTAGATTTTGTGGACCCCCATAGGCACTGGGGTGGGGACAAAAATATGAGGTTCAGTGTATGGGACATGGCGGCCAGCGAGTGGGCTAGGGATGGGGGTGCAGGATCTGGGTGGGAGGTGGGGTACAGAAGCAGGCTCGGAGTACAGTGTCTGGCCAAGGAGGAGGGAGCAAAAGCAAGGGAGGGTGCAGTGTGTGGCCAGGAGGAAGGGTGCAGGAACAACGGTGGATGCAGAAGCAGGGTGGGGGTAGGGTGTCTGGCCAGGAGGGAAAGTGCAGGAGCAGGAGAGGATGTAAGAGCAAGCTGGCAGTGTGTGGTCTTGGTGGGGGGAGAGTGTGAGGGGAACTGGAGTACAGTGGTCTGGGCATGTGGGGCACTTACCTGCCTTTGTGCCCCCATTGCTACTGGCCAATGGAAGCAGCAGGGAAAGGCCCCACACAGCGAGTCACTGCACTGCCATTCCCCCAGTGAGATGGGGAGGAGCGGGAGCTCAGACCTCCCCCCCGCCACAGAGTGGGGGAGCCCTCACTGCTGCTCCAGCCCCGTGGTTGTTGCGCAGCCGCAAGGCTGGAGCACCAGTTCCGGCTTCCCACACAGAGAGTGGGGGGTTAAGAAAGTCACAACCTTCCCGCCAGACCTGTCTCGTGGAGAGGTGGTCTGCATAGGGTCAGTATGCTGAGTGTGTTGGGCAGGAGACTGGGGGCAGCTGAGAAGAGGGCTAGATAAGAGGTGGAAGCTGAGCAGGGTGAAGCAGCGGGGCTGTGATGTTGTTAAGGTGGAGAAATTCTGGCTGAGACCTGGCTGGGAGGGGACCTGCATGAGTGGGTAGGCCCCAGGGGCAGGGATGAGGCCAGTCTTAGGTTGTTTGTGCAGCTGAAGGCCGTTGGGACGTGTACAGCGGAGGTATGGGCTGCGGGCTGGCCATGACTGACTGCAACAATTTAGTGAGCCAGTCTCCTGCACCTCCTCCTCCTCCTCCTCAGGCCCCTGGCATGGAAGCGCTCGCAGCACCACAGTGTTGTTGGTGCAGCGGGCTCAGAAGAGGCTCCAGGGCTCAGGGCTGCTCCCTCCCTCAGAGACCAGCTCTCCTCCTCGTCTCCCTCATCTGCTGCTGGGTGGGTTGGAGTCAGCTGATACTCTGGATGTCGGGCA